CTTCTTCTTTTTTTTATCACACTTTCTGACACCAATTTGTTACGTCTCCGTTCGTTAGTTGATTTTCCGTAAATTCGTTCCGACGAAACTTTAGCGATACAAGTCCTTTCTGAAATAAAACTGGTTTATTCTTTCCGAACATTACGATACACTTAATTTCAACAATCGCTCTATAACAAACGCTACAACAACGAACGTTAACTTCAACAATACTTTCTGACTGCAGTTCAATTACTCACTACCTACACACATTGTTCCCGTCACGTTGTGACCATCTTATATATACCAGACCACCCCCAATCTAGTAAATGCTAGGGCATTCACGTAGATTCGAGAGAAGGAGTGGCGTAACACTAGTCACGTGACCTCGCTGACTCAACAATATATACTTTCACATTTGAAAACCCCTCCTCCCTAGTTGCCACCACTGGATAGTCACTAATAAGTTAACTAAAACTTTCTGAAAAGGAGTGCTGCCTTTTATTAAACAAATAATAAACAAAATTTATAAAACAAAAGGATGGCAACGCCAAAAAAGTCCAGAAACAAGATAAGGATAAGCACACGAAACTATACAACCCCCCCAAAATGTTCCTGTAAATAAAATTCTCAAAATAATATCAATAATTATATTTGAAAAAAATAATTACGATGTGCTATTTATCAATTTTATAAATTTTTTTCACAAAAAGTCATTTAAGAGAGAAAACTCGGTTTTAATTTGAAGTAAACTTGTAATAAATTTTGTCTTCCAAAACTGAAATTATGAAGATCAGTTAAGATAAAACCAAATAATTATCATCGAGGTAATCATATTGTCAAATAACTTGCACACTTATGGGGAAATAAAGCTTCATAATACACTAAGGAAAATATATATTAATATTATCATGTTTTGTTTTTTATATTTTCTTGGTTGCGCTACTTTATTATTTTTACTCCTTTTTGTGAATGCAAGATTAGACGTATCTTTATATATATATATATATATACATATAAAGTTATGTCGCATATGTACACTGTTATTTAGTGGTTCGCGTTACGAATGAAGCATTTTATTCGTGCAGTAATTCTTTAAGAAGTTAAAGCTATGGGCCGGTTATTGTTTTATGATGATCATGTTAAAGATCTCATAAATAACATGATTAAAGAAAAAAACCATAAAATTGGTTTAGTGTTTGGGCAAGTAAGTCTATATAACTTATAAATTTATAACTAGGGCCTGCAATTTATCGTGCCCTGCTTTTTGAATTATTTGTTCACATAGACGTAGGCCTAATACTAATAGTCTTTGCGTTGGTAGCAGTGTTATGACCATATGTTATATGACGTAATGCCAGTGGTGTATGTAGTAACTAGTAGTATAGTGTAAGCTGTCCAACATAAGTTTAATTTTTACAGTAGCCTGAGTAGGCATTTAAAAAAATATTTGACCTTAGTTTTTGGTATTGATAGTTAAAATCTAAAGACTAAGACTGTTTCACTCTATTTTAAATTTGAATTTGAAATAGTTAGTCTGCCTAAATTATCAATCACTAGTATCAACATCAAAGATTTGTTCACGAAGTTTGATTATGTACTTTGATATAAGTTATAACAATGTTGTCATAAAATATAAGGCATATTGTAATAATACAATGAGAATTTTAAATTAATTTATAATAAAAGAGAACATATTGGATTGATTGAAGCTTAACAAAAGCCTTTAATATTTAATTACATCATATCTTGTTTTAAGGAATGTCTGTGAGATTCTTGCATGTGGAGTATTGGAAATAGTGTGCAAAACTTCTGCACACCAAAGTATGTGCCTGGGGAGCATTGTTTTTGTATTCATATATTAGAAAAAAAACTGTCAAGTTTCTCATTCAGTACTTTCTAAAAGTTTTTTTTTTTTAATATAAGTAGAATCTAGTCTATTAATATACAGGTATAGTATATTACTGTTAACAGATCACACCAAAGCCATATTTTTGTGATACTTAAGGTAAATAAAATGAGAGGCTAGTTGATTTCTATGATTTGATGTATTGTAAGTTTCATTTTGTTTTTAGGTATATTATAATTTATGAAATTAAAAAGCATTTTAATCAAAAAAGCATATAAACATGCAATTCATAAAATCTGACACAACAGCTATTTTACCTTGCTAAGACACCTTAATGATTATATTTTGCTGGAGTATGATGGATCACCTGGAAAGACTGCCCCAAACATCATATCACAAACAGTAGAATAAGCAAAGCTGGAAATGTTTGCACTTAACAGAGAATGAGCAAAACTTTATAAATGAATTGAAGTCTGAATTGTTTGGTAATAATCAATTACAATTTGTTTGACAGTAGAGAAAAGACTACTATATAGGCAATGTACAAATCTACAGTGAAGCATGGTGGGGGTGGTCATTACAAGTTTGGCACTGCATCTCAAACAAAAATAATGGCACCCTAACTACCTACAAGCACAGGTAAGTTCTGATCCATTCATTCATTGAGGGATATTATCTTCCAGCAAGATAATAATCCCAAACATACAGCAAATGTGGTGAAATGATATTTTGGTGGTAAAGAGGTTTGTGGAACATTCACAGTCATGGCTTTGTCTGTATAAATTCCTATATTAACATTATTGAAGATGTATGAGCTTGTGTAAAAACATATAAGATCAAAAGATGACCAAACAATTTGCTTAAATTGTGATAGACATTTGGATTTCTTTGTAGATCTATTTGTGGATACTCTCACAAAGCTACTCAAAAGCCATAGATATTGGCAAGTCGTTCCTAATTTTAAACTGAAGTACTAGAGGGAAAGCAGCTAGTTAATGCACCCATTCCAGCTCTTTGGTACTCTTGTCTGACCGAATAGTGGATTTTACTGTCGTACACCCTTATAGCATGCCCATGACTGGGAAGTGAGAAGCATGATATTTTTTGTGGCAATGCAACACAAACAATGGATCTTTAGATCCAAATGCTGGTATGCTAATTGCTGGGCCAAGGTCACCCCAGGATATTTGGAGTAGTATTCCAAAATTGTACATTGATAAACTGTATGGCAGTATGAAAAAAAACTGAATTGCCCATTTACCCAACTTATTAGTGCATTTTGCAACTTATTTGCTCTTATTCAGTATTTTCTGTGATAATTTTTGTACCTGTAATAAATTTACCATCTAGTTGCCAGTACATGTTGTTTATAACTCGTATGTGCTTATCATTTGTTTCTGTAATTATTCCCATCACTGTATCTCTGCTCCATTTTACACTCTTTTGGTGACAACATCTAATAAAGTAAATTACACTGACAATGAATTTAATGTTTCCTAGGAAAACTTTGTTAGCAGTAGGATTCAGAAAAATGTGTTTTACTTGCATGTTTTTTAAGGAATGAAAGTAATGCTTTAAAGTTTGAAATTGAAAGACTTGAAAATGAACTAGCAATAGTAAAGACATATTTGACCTAAGAACAAATTGAATAATAATAAAAAAAAAAGTTCACATTATACAGGGTTCTAAAATGACATATTTGATCTATTGTTGAAGATGCACTCATTTTGAATTTAATTGCTATGATGGATGGTTTGTCATTTTTCTCTCACATACTAATCATCTTCTAATGTAACATATTTAAATTATGCTAATTATGGAAAACAACATCTAGAAAAATTAAACATTGTTTAATTGATATTCAGTGAGAAGAATATCTAATTATTTGTTAATTTAATAAATTGTTTCTTTATTGTAGAATATTTATGCCAGGCTGGTAATGAATATGTTTTTGACAACAGACCCTGTCATGAATTTTTTTTTACTTTTCATTCTTTCTGAAACATTCTGTAACTGACAATTATATTATCAACATAGATGAACATAAATTATCTAAATATTAAACTTTTTACTGGTGTGTTTTAATAGAAATAATTTAACAACACTACATGCAAATGCTAGAAAATGATTTGGCCTCAGTATGTATATTATATATTATGAAAAGTTAAGATTCATCCAAATACAGTTAATATTGGAAATGGAAACTAAGTAGTAAATGGATTTCAAAACCTTCCTTTTTTGGAATATGAAATGACAAGTGATTTCATCAGTGGTTTAATATTGGGGTAAAAAATTATGTATAAAAATCTCTTAAATTTCTGTGAAATTTTTAAGTTAAGTGTTATTCTATTTTTTTATGTGATGAACTGCAATATTATGCACCATTCATAATTTGTGTAAACTTTATAAAATGTTGTTTCTTTATAGACATCTAAGGTATGCAATAAATTTAAAGATTGTAGAATGCAATTGTTCTGCCATTGTCAAAGTTAGAAAGATAAGTTTCAGTGCACATTTTAAGAAAAAGTGATTTAAAGTACAAAAATATCTTTTTAGAAACTTTGCATAAATACATAGTTATGTTTAAGTTCTTGACCACACATTTTGTTTTGGTAATTTTTTTAACTTTAAACTAAACTGTTCATCAACTGACTTTGATAATTGTAGTTTATCTTTCATTAAACACTCTCTTCTTGTAGAACACATTAGAGAAAGATTTTGTTGTGCATCTAACTGAAGTTCCAGCTAAAGAAAAAGAGGAGGAAATTGGCACTGAACAAAACAGTGAAGAGTTGAAATCTTCTAAGAATACAACAAAGAAAAGAGAAACTGATGAGCTAGATGAAGCATGGATTTCCCAGCATGGAAAACAGGTACAACCCACAAAATATAAAACCAAATGTTACTTTTAATCCCTTTAAAATCTTATTTTATTAGTGAGTAAAAAAGGGATGCTTTACTTGAGGTTTTATTTTATTATAGTGTTAATGTAAGTTGTAATTTTCTTTAGCTTGCACATGATTTTCTCAATTAATGATTATGAATGCTACAGGCTACAAATAATTGATGTTTAATTTCAGCCACTATGATTAGTAAGAGATATCTTGAAGTTATTAATAATGGTTTTCTATACCATCCTCTCTGTACTTCACTACTGCTGATGACAAATCATTCCATAAACCATTAACTCTGTTAGAAAATATAAAACTCTCTTAAATGGAGCTTAGCATGTCTTTTTTTACAAATCATAAATTTGTCTTATTGTCTTCAGAATACATCACAAAGAAATCGGAGGTCTGTATCCTATTGTTTCCACAGGATAATCTTGAAAATTTCAATAAGATCACCTCTTACCCTATTTTCTCAACAGGAAATAATTTAAGATATCTTAATTTATTTCTATAATGTAACCCTTCCATTCCTTGAAACATTGTAATGGCCCTCCTCTTATCCTTTTCCAACAAGTCAGTGTCCTTTCTTAGATAAGGAGACCAAAACTTTAAACAATTTGAGTCAGGATAAATTCTTTAATAATGTACGACTACCTAATTCTTATATGCGTGTTCTTCATCGGGCTTCCTTTCTTTGACTTGACATCTTTGGTGGTCTGGATTTGCTGGATTTCAGGACCAAAGCAGTCCAACACCAGTCTTCATTATCTTCTGTGGTTTCTTGGATTTCACAATTTTGCCTTTCCACTCCAGTTCTTCAACCAGCTCAGTCCTGCTCCTACTTTTCATGTTCTACTTTCCAGACCTTCCCCCTTCTCCATCTACCCACTGTCAGGTTAGTTGCACATCTTGTTGGTGACTGTCCTGTTGGGTCAGGTTCAGTGGGCACCTGTCTGTCTCAGTTCACCACTCTTTTGGTTCCTCTTCTACACCAACAGATGGGTTCTTCAAGTTCTCATCCATGGTCTCTCCACTTCTCTTCTCCACCCCTCTTTCCTCTTCCTGTTTCCCTCCTCAGACCTGATGTTTCTTCAGTGTCTCAAGGATGCAGTATCTGATCTTTTGACCAAACATGTCATCAAGAGGGTATATGACCCTTTTCCAGGGTTTTACTCTCATCTCTTTGTGGTCCCCAAGAAGCCTGAGAACTGGTATGTGGTAATCGACCTATCATCTCTCAACTGATTTCTAGTTGTTCAACTATTTTGGATGGAGAATTTCTTTTCTCTCCGGTAGTTCTTTCCTCCATGTTCAGATTGCCCTATCCTCTAGACATTTTCTATGATTTGTCCATTGGAGTTGTCTTCTAATTTTGTGTTCTTTCCTTTGGCATAGTGTCAGGCCCTTATATATTCAATCAAGTCCTGAGGACCTTCTATTGCCATCTTTATGGCCTGGGACTGAATTTACATTTCAACATGAACTATTGGCTCCTCTTAGCCCATTCCCAAGAGGGTGTCCTTTTTTCACACTTCTCTTCTTCTACAGGAGGCTGCTTGGTTGGAGTGGTTTCTCAAGACATCCAAGTCCTTTCTCATGCGCACTTAAATTTTATACATCAGGGCATCTTCTTCAGCTCTCATTTCAGCCAAGCTCAGCCTTCTCCTCATCTTGTGTAACAGGTTATTTGCTTTTGAGAACTCTGGCTTCCCTGGAACCCCTTATTCTTTTGGGGTGGGCACACCTGTGTCTCCCCCAGTGTATCTTGCAAGACCAGAGGATTCTTTCTCAGGATCCATTGTCCTTAATTATGAACCTTCCCTCTCCTCTACTCAAGAAATTATGGTGGCTGGACAATGCTAGTACTACCTCCAGCATTCCCTTACTACCCATCAGATCGGATTTCCATCTCTTCACCAATGCTTCTTACTTAGGTTGGGGCACTTTTCTAATGAACAACATGACTTCTGGCATTTAGATGCAGGACGAGCTTTCACTCCAAATCAACATGTTCAGACTTCTAACTGTTTGGTTGGCATGTTCCAATTTCCTACACTTTCTGGTAGATAACTTGATTATGATCCACTCTGGTAATTCTATAGTTGCTTCTTACATCAACTGTCAGTGGGCACCCATTCAAGAACCCTTTGCTTTTGGGCATTGGATCTACTCTTCTGAGCTCATTGACATTGGGTTTGGCTTGTTGCCTGTTGTGCTGACAGCTATGAACCTGGTGATGGACCACCTTTATTGGCTGGACCACATTCTAACAATGGAGTGGTCTCTCCACCTCCAGGCCTTTTGTTGGGTTTGCCCTTGGTTGGTTTCGCCTCTGATAGTCTTTGCCACCTTTCTCAGCTCCAAGTTTCTTTTTTTTCTCATCCACCTGTTCCTGATCCTTCAGCTCTGGCTGTTGCTGCTCTCAGCCAGGACTGGTTTCACCTTTTTCTATATGCTTATCCTCCTCTTTGCCTCCTCCCTCTGGTCCTCGCTTTTATACATGACATTCCTTGTGTGGTATTTTTCTTGTGACATTCCTGCTGCTCATCCACTATGTTTGTTAATCATAAGTTAACATTTTCGTAATTTGAAAATGTATTTCCGATAGATACTTTTCTCTTCACATATTCCCACTTGACCTCCCCACTACTGGTGCACTTTTTTTTCTTCTCCTTGCCTCATCTAAGAATGAAGCTATCACAAGTGCATTGGGAGAGCTACAGCAAATGGATGTTGTGTTGCCGTCCTATTGGTGGAGGAATATTGCTTCATGATAACATCATCATGCAACAGCACAGTTCATGTTAAACATGTAAATGTAAGTGGCAGTGAGCTCAAGGTTAATGGCATATAAATCTCATGGGCAGATGAGAGAGGGAAATAGCACTTCTGTTTGGATGTGAGTATGTATCAGAAATACACTTTCAGATTAAGTAAATGTTAAATTTTGTCTGCAATAACACGTGGTGTAAAGACGTGACCTAAAATGTTTGTGTGAAATCACTTGCCTTCAAGATGAAATGCACAGGAGACCTCTTCAGTAATTAAAGGGATTAATTGCAGTATGCTTTTGTACTTTTGTTTACTATTTTTGTGATTCTCGTACATTCTTAGGAATCCACAACAACTTGGTGTATATATAGTTAAGACAAATGTGTTTAAAAAGTCATTGAAGTTGTATGGACCCAGTCAGTAATTCTTTGGTTAACATTTTTATACTTAAACTATATTTGTTAAGCTTTAAATGAATGCACTTAAGATTACTGAGGGACGTTGTCAAGGTGCCAAACTTGTAGAGGCAGGTTTATTTTGTGTTAAACTCATTAAGTCTATGGAAATATTTCATAAAATGATGTAAAAACATTATTGTGTTACCCAAGATTACTTTAAAATGTATGGAACATATGGAAAAAGGAACTTGTTTGTCTTAAGATCTTGCACATTTTATAGTAATAAGATTTATGGGGGACATGATTTATGTTTATGTATTGGAAAATATAGTATGTATGAGGTTTTTTTTTGTTGTGTGTGTGTATGTATATATATTTTTTCTTTTAATTAAAGGTAACAAGAATGCTTCCTGGAGGACTAGAAGTGTTAGGAATCTTTTTCATTTCTCCAGTCGAAACCTATATCAATTTACAACCCAAATTACGACAGGTAGGAAGCCAATTATGTTATTAAGCTTCACTGATAGAAGTGCTTCTTGAAGAAATTGAACAAGGAAAAATAACTTAAATGCATTTCTTGAGAGGAAAAAAAAATCTGATACATTACGTTGTTTATAATAGATGATGTAGGTCATCAATATTGATATTTTGCAAGTCTGCTGTATTTTATGTTTTAAGCATTACCATTCAGCATTTTAGTATTTTGTGGTATACAGTAAAATTCAGGAATGGTAATATTCTTGCAGGGTTCTCCATAACCTAAATCCTTGAATATTTTATTCACAAATTCCAGAGCTCATGTATAAAAATTGTCATATGGGTGAATTCATGTACATAAATTTTGGTTCATATATATATGAAAAAAGTTAAGAAAAAAGCATTCATTTTAATGTTCTAAAGCTGTTATTGACTTAAGAGTATTTGCTAACATATTTACATTTTGAGGCATGTTAGATATGTGCACAGAATATACATTACAAATTTGTTTGACTCAGGTAAACAATAGCTGAGCTTGTGTATGTCACATGGTTTCCTTGTAGGAGGAGTAATCTCAGTCATGCAACTATGAATGAAATGTGAGTGCACTATTGGATGGCTTTGCATTTATGTTGGTGAATCTATTAATTAGACAGGTCTAACTGGTCCAACTTTGCAATCTAAAGTTTGTAATCTAAAGAAACACAACTTTTATCAAATTGTCAAGCATCTTGTTTGTAAGGTGGTTGATAATTGATCTTGAGCTGTTACTTCTTACACCTTTGAAGATGAATGGTAATTGGCAGTCAGCTTGTCTGTTAAACTAAAGGATGCCTACTTGCAATAATAGGCAGTGGAACTAATTTAAATTTGGGGGATTATGTTATTTGCTATGTTAGCAGTGGCAGTTAAATTCAAAGTTGAAACAGCAGCTTTATATGCGCTTGTAATTATTGAATTATGATCACATACATGCCTACACACACTTGTTTTAAAATGGTGAAAAATTAATGACTTTTACTACTTTCAAAGTGAGGATCATCAGAATACATCATACATGTCACAGACAACAATTTTTTTCATTTCCCACCTTTATCAGAAAGTTGCAATTATTACTACTTATATATGTAAACACATTGAACAGATCCAAAAGTAACAGGATATCAGTTTATGAAGGCAAAGTATAACTGTTTGAGGGTGTATCAGCAGCATCACTGATTTTGGCACTCTAATAATTTAAGTGTTCACCTGCAGATTTGACAGCATCACTTTCAGAATTTGACACCAAAAGGTATTTTTCCTCCAGCTCTTAAAACCTATGGAGAACCCTGTTGTTTAGTAGACATTGCAAGTCAGTAATGTAAATATAAAGCTTAAACCATGATTAAAGTCTTGACTTCATAATAATGCTGATTGATATTTTGATAGAAAGGAAAACATAATGTAAATATATTGTTTACTATTTGTTGCAGCTCATTAACTTTAATATATTGTTTAGTAGATAATGAGTCAGTTAAGCTGTTATATTGTTTAATCAATAGACAGTGTGAGTCAGTATTATTTTTGTTTCTAATTAGCAGTGCAAGGCAGCTGTGATGTATTATATATCAGACACGTAGATTTTATAGTCTATCACTGTTAACATAATGTTAAATAGATAATACAACTCAGTGCTATATATATATAGTTAGTCAGTAGTATATTGTACAATAGTTACAAGTTAGTAGTGCTGATAAATTTAGTTGACAGTTATAATCAAAAAGCAGAAATGGCAAAACACATTTTTCTGTTTGACATTGCAAATCACTACTGTTGTTTATTTGACAATGGACAGTAGCACTGTTATACAAGTATCATAATTATTTTAGTATTAGGAAAGTTTTTGCTTTTAGTATACAGCTATCTTGTTCAATATGTCTCTTTTCAGGGGTAAAATTAAATGTTGGAGTCCACCGAACTCAAGATATCTGTGTTTTGAAAGCTGTACAGTATTCAAGTAGCTTGCATAATTATTATTTGTACTCCTTAGTAATCCTTTTAATTATAAAACATATTATTCAGTATTGAAAATTAAAAATAGTTATTTCTTTACAATTATTTCTTATACCAAAAAATAACTTGAATGTTGTAATGAATTTCAGTGATCACTATATAATAGTTCAAGTTGCCAAATTATACTAATATAAGTTTTAACATTTTGCTCACGACCATCACAAGCTATGTGGGTTTATGCAAGTTGTTCTGAATTATGCAGAATATCACAAATGTATGAGCCTTAGACTTGTAAACTCTTGTTAAGTTTAATTCCTAATTGTGACTTAAAAATCTTGGTCAGTTTATGGTCATTAAAAGTCTGTTTCTAACATTTGGAATTACCTTTCTTTGCTGAAATAATATATTGTACACTTGTACACGTTTTAGCTTCATTTTATTTAAGATTTCTTAATATCCATGGTAATTTGGAGACACAAGCACTTCAAAGACAGGTTCCTCACTCAGTGTATAGAATATAGCTCATATCATCCCTATTAGAATAATTTTCTACTGGAACCGTACAGTTGCAAATGAATTGTTCAACAGTTTCACTACAGATACATATCAGGCGATAGCTTGGAAAATGTGTCAGTCGGCTCTCATTGTTCTACAATACTTGAGACTACGTGTCAAGATTACAATGATGGCAAGCTTAACCTAAAGCATAAGAGTTTCAACCATTCCAGAGGTTGGCTTACAGGTCATGTATTCCTGTCCTTCAAAGTACTGGTGTTCATGCAAATCATGTTCCACATACATAATTATGCCTGTTCCAATTTATTAAGACTGAATGCAATAAAATCACTGTGAATTTGTTGAAAAGATAATTGTGCCATTTTGTTTTCCTTTGCAAATTTCTAATAAATGAGTTTGTTTTTTTATTTTCAATAGAAGTATTATCAGATTCTTGATAATGTTGAATAGTCTGGTACACAGTTGTTCAGGTATCACCAAGCATGTGACTACGTAATGTATTAATTTTCCAGCAGCTTATAATCTATCCTCTCTCAAGTTTTTATTTAAGCATGATAGGACACTCTGGTAGTAGTTAAATTACAAAATTAGGACTGATTTGCAAAAACGGTACTTTGAAAGTCCATCCTAAAACCTTAAAAATCTTAGAATGTTGTACTTTATGCTAAAAGTGGGGTATAAGGCAAGCATCCTTTCTATGTTACAAAATGAAAAACTTAAATTTGGTTTTTATATTGATAAACCATTTTGGTGAAGTCATAAAATTAAAGCAGCTTTCCAAGTTAATCATGAGGCACAAACATTGTCAAGTTCTGTCTATGTGATGTTCAACTTTAACAGAAAGTTAAAGTTAAACGATGTTTAAAGAAAAGTTATGTTGTTTAGTGCTAACAAAATACAATAAAAGGCTTCTATTGATTTTTTTATTCATCAATTAACATAAAACTAAACTTATCTTTTCTCCATATGAAAAGTCTCTGAAATATGTCAAACTACCATAAAGTTAAAGTAATAAACTTCACTGTCTCCCCCTGATACTAAAACACGCTCTAATCTAAAATGAAACTACATATGTATTGAAGAGTGCGTGTTATTTCTGGTTTCGAATCAATGTTTTCATTGAAACAAGTGTTTTATTAATTAAGCTAATACATTGTAAAAGCTACTAAACAAGGAATCATTGATGTTTTCAGTGGCTTGCGCAAAATGTGAAAATACACGTTAGAACTTAGAAGTGGATACTAGATTTGTGATGTTACCTACCTGTACTTTTTCTTCAAAATCATATGCATCATACGGCTGGATTGTAAGGTCATCTGTTACAGCAATCTACTAAAGTTATTTGTAACTTGTACCACAAACTAAGCAAAGTGAGGTGTTTGTATTATTAGATACTCTAGTTGTTTATCAGCAGTTTTATTTTTCTATAGAATCTTAATCTTCGAAATTACTCGTGTAGAAATGTGCAAAATTCAAGGGAAATTTTTTTTTTCTTATTATTGAATTTTTTTAATCAACATACTTAACGTTTATCATAAAATATTACAGGTTTTCTGACAGCTTTGCTTTGTGCCTTTGGTAATTTTGAGGACTAATCTAATTTATTCCAGATCTTTCAAGGAGTTTGACAATAACAAATGAACATATGATGGTAGACATTGGTTAGCAAAAGTCACAATTTACTCTTGCATTAAATACTAGAGAACTAAAAAGATTCAAAAAGCAATTTGAATTTTTAACCATGTCAAAATTTTATTTTATAAGACAGACCTTTTTTTCAGGGTCATAGCAACAAAATGGGGTTGGCTGGAAACCAGAAACACTGTTTTTTATTATTTTTTAGGCCTATGGATGTATGGGGTAGAAGCATGAATATCCCAGGAACTTGCACATATCCAATTTTAAACATTCAAAGGAAAATTCTGGGTACAATATGCAGAACATCCAATAAAGGAAGAGCTGTTTAAGAGTTCATCCATTGCATTGCATATCAAGTTTGCTAATATTAACTGAAGGAATAATTCTTGAAGCTTCTGTTGGATGTAGATCTGATTCTGAATGAAGATGTTTAGAGATGAAACATGGTAGCTCTTCTGCTGTCTGAGGCTCCTTGTCAGCAATAGGTGTATGTTTCTTTTAATTTTGCTTTTACTTAGTTATTGCTGTTTTTTCCTTGCATTCTTGCAATACTGGTTCATTAGGTGCTGTAATTTTAGAGTAAAATGTGTTTACTAGAAACCTCTTCTCACACTACCTTCCTCCTCTCCATGCCTGTTTCAATGCTGTGGAAAGAGTAAGCTAAAGTTGTGGGTGAGGTTTGTATTAAACGGAGCTCATGTGAATTATGATTAGACAGCATGTAAGCTCCTGATTGGCTGATACCATAAATTTGTGACATGGTGTAGAATACAGTAACATTAGGGAAGGATTACAGAATAAGCAGACTTGGCATTTACTTGTGCACTCAAACATTGTGGACTGTTTCAGTTGTAGTTTTAGAATTTGATATGTAATGTTCAAGAAAGTTAAAGTTCAGTGAGCTAACGAGCCCAATGATGTAAGAGGTAAGTACTTATTTAAAATATTTTTCACCCCAAAAATAACTATAAATTCAGGATGACCTACTTGAAGGAGAAATTATTAAGTTGAAAAATACAGGTGAAATTTCATAACTAAATATGTGAATGTAATATCAAGAACCCAGGTCATTAGACTACTGTGAAAATACATCTATCTTTCATCTGTTTTATGTATTTTATTTTTAATTTATTTGTTTCAGATTTTGTTTGCTTTAAATAAAGCTTTGAGTCGAGATTTGAGGTTCAACATTAGTTCAGACAGTTTGGAAAGGATTCTACTTCATATCTGCCCCATAACAAACAAGTATCCTTAAATGGGTTCTAGAATGTACATTAGCACGCAAAATCTATGGTATAAAATGTGTAGAAGCCTAGAAGGTGTAAAAAAAAGTACATTTGTGATAGGCTGTTAAAACACTTATGCATTCATGAGAGTTCTTTTATGATGTATTGGTAAAATTGAATGCTATCATTGCATGTTTTAACTATTAATGTTTAGCTTACTGAATTTTCAAGTGATCAGTATAATGTTTTCCACTGTGTGATAAGAATAACTTGTACTAAATTAAAAACTATGAAGGAATATGGACTTGATATTGGTTATAAATTAAAAGTAAGAAACCAATATGTTATAAGTTTGCATAAATGCAGTTAACATTACTGAGTAATGTCACCTAGTCTTTATTTGAAATTTATATTGATACTTACCTGAATTTCTTAAAATCTAGTTTGTAGTATTTAATGCATTTTACAGGTATGTAAAAAAAACATCATTTATTGTATTTTGTACTACATTTTACAAATAATTAGGAAAATACACATTGTGTGTGGTCAACATGTTTGTTTTTTGCTTTATAATTTATTTAGATGTATCCTTTTAAACAATGAATGATAAAGACTACACTAGAATATCTTCATTTATAAACATTTAAAAAAAAGTATAAGATTGTCATGTGTAGATATAACCTAGTTTCGAGTATTGTGTTTTATGATTTCTTGTTGTGTGTAATTGGAAAGGCATTTTGTTTGTATGATTCCCAAAAAAACTATTACCACCCCATGCTATAAAACTTTTTTTGCTTACCTTTGGTTTATTTGCAAGTTTAGCAAGGGTTGATTTTTTTTTTTTTTATCTAAGTAAGTAGCTTCTCTGGTTAGAAGTTAATATTAAGTAATTACATGAATTTAGAGATGTTATGATTTTTCATGTGTCCATTGAGCTCACTTCTTTTACATCTATGTTAGTTTATTTTGTCTGAAACATTTACAGATTTTAATTACTGGCATTGATTCAAGTGTATTTTTATCTGTGTAAGATGTTAATAATGTGGTATAAATGACATTTTCTGAGAATTCAAATATGCCATTGTATTATATATTATAGTCTATGGAAATTGGTTTGGGAAGTTTGATCCAAATTATTAAATTAATATTGTGCTAATTACATGTAAGTGGTAAACTTAAATAGCAATAAATTTTAAACATTTAGATATATATATATATATATATATAAAACTTGAAGTTACACATTTGGGTTAACAATATTGTAAAAACACCTAGGTTCAAGAAGTCTTAATATAAAACGATAAAACTCTATTACCCAAATGCTTTTGAATGGTGGACCTTTCTTCTTCAGGGGGCAAACTGTTTGTCCCTGAAGAAGAAAGGTCCACCTTTTAAAAGCACTTGGGTTATAGGGTTTTTATCATTTTGGATTAATAATATTCATAGTTGGAAAATTTCAAGCAGTGATCTTATGCCTTGACTCTGGGACTTTAATGGTGTATATAATACCTGGTCAGTATTTTGTCTTATTTTGACAGATATATATTAAAAAATATGCTTAGAGCTTGTGAATTGAGTATTAGATAAATGCCATTTTTAAACAACACCAACTTTTTTGTGTGTTTTAACTTGTTAATTTTTTGGGATGTTAATGTATTATTTGAAATAAAATTTATTTTTAATATTCTGTTTTATGAAACAGCTGGTAACTTGCAACATTTCAATATTATAGTTCAAGTATTTGTGAGCCAACATTGATCATTTTTGGCTTTTAAAAATAGTTGTAACTCATTTAGCAGATTGTGATCATTACTTCTGAACTTGGATACAGGGGTGCGTTGTCAATCCATATTGTCAATAAATAACATTAAAATGTAAATATATATTTTTTTTAGATTTAAAATTAGCTATCTTGGATCATATTGTAATTATAAAGTATAATAATTTCTATTTTTAAACAGCATTATTTTGGCTAATAATTTTAAGAAAGTTCAGTGTTATACAAAAACACTAAATAAGCTTCTATAATCTTGTAAATAATTTAATCTGGGTATAAAAACCTAACACTGTCTTGTTTTTTTTCAGATGTGTGTGTGTGTGGTGTGTATAATCTAAGTTTGTTTTATGTGTGGAGGAAACATGATTTACATTTACCCAGTAATATAAAATGTTGATAGCATTCAGACCATTAGCATTGAAACAAGAAATTTAACTGAATGACATACCCATTTTACCCTAGTATTTGATTTTATCATTCCTGATTTAATATAATTTAGATCTGTTTCATACAAATTGTCGTTAAGTTAATTTTTTATATTCTTTATGAGTTTTTTTACTTTACTAATAGCATTTAGTTATATAATTGTTTTTAAAACTTCATTTTTGCAAAAGCATTATGATACAAGTTCATATCTATATAATTTAATTGTCTGATAAAGCATGACATCTGTTGTTAGTCAGGTATGTGTTTGTTCATGTATAGTGCAGTACTATGACTTTATTTGCTCTATATCTCAAAAAGTATAACTTTTCAATGCCATGTATTGGTAAATGATGGTATACAAAGTATTAAGATCATTAGGTTTGAAGTGGAAAATGTGATCAAATTGGAACTTGCAGTTAACCTGTTTTTTATATTTTTCATACATAACTTTAATTTTAACTTTACATATTGCATAAAATCTAAGATTTCTAGAATTAGGTATAGGATACAATGTAATGTACTTTCATTTGCTGTTGTAACTTGTAAATTCTAAGAATACTTGACCACAGTTTAGAATCACCAGTCGAACCTTTGATGTTAGTGATTACAAGGTAAGAAATTATTTAACTACTTTAAGTATTGAAAGCCCTAAAAAACTAATTATCTGAAAACCTCTAATTAAAGCTATATGAAAAATGCTAGTGATTTCATTTAATATAAATTTTAAAATACTGAGCATTTCCTTTTTTGTTTATTGCAAAACAAATATTTAAAAAATAACCCCTCTGTGTGCTCAAATTAAGTATTTGACAAAATATTCTTTATTTCAACAAAACAAACATAGAAAATTTTCTATGAATACTTAACAACTAATTGCACATTTGCTTATTGGGTATATCTGTCCACTTAATGCTCACTAACCGACCTATTCCTTCAAGGCATGGGAAGACTTAGGAGCTCCCATGGGGTCAAATCTGAATGCAACCCTCCTATATCACTCCCTGAGGGGCCCTAAAGTTACATGATGGGTTTGGTGATAAGCAGTCTAGCAGAATTACTCAAACTTTTATCAAATAATGGTTTAGATTATGATAAGACTACAGTTCATTCTCGTCATAATAAATGAATTTCTTTGAAGTTTAAGAAAGAAAAGTCCAGTTATGATTATCTCCAAATTTGCAAAACAAAACCTTTCTGTGCTCTGCTTTTACCTTTATGTAACTTTCAGTACATTTTATCCAGATGAAGAGAATTTTTTTTTATTCAGAAAATGCATTATTTTATAGTTGCTTAATTTTTTAGTCTTTCTTAGGAATGCTACTTGCCTCTTTGCACCACAAAGAGATGTATTACCTTGTGCATGCAGTGCCATGTAAGTTCCTTTGGATGCCACAAGCCTTGAACAAAGCTCCCACCCCTACATATGTCAATGTGTTATAATGTAATCATCATTAGACTGTAGCCCTCTACCAATAGGAGGGTGCACATACATATTCTCCATGTGCATTAATCCCCAACAACACTAGCACATGAACACAAGCTTAATCTTTCCTCGACACTGCTTTTTTTCAGATGTGTTTGTCACAAGATTTACCAGAATTTTTGCACATATTGTTTTAACCTTCTGTTACTATTTATTGTGCAGTTATTCTTTCCTTGAGTTTCTTGATTACTTGAAAGAATGATACTAATTTTACACTTATCAGTTAGAACTTTCGTGGGAATTATCTTTCATTGGATTTTTTTTAATTGACCTTGTATTTTTTGGGGCACATGCCCTGTTGTATGATCCTGTTGTTTAATCCAACATATGGGTTTTATCCAGTACTCTTCAAGATTGTCATTAGGCCTATGTACCATCACCATACCTGGCTAAATTTTTTTTAAACTGATAACATAAAGCAAAACAAAAAAAGAACCACCACAACATCAGTTTTGTGTTTTAACTGGATTACACATTCATGTTCCCTTGTCTCTCACATCTCCCAAAGTTTTTCACACCTCTTCACAGGAGTCATTCAGTAGTATAATGGTGATTGAGACATTTTGATGATCAGTGATCTTACCACCATTTTGTACCATGTGGTTAGTTCCATTCTGATTTTGGATCCAGGATTCCTGACCTACTGCTTATGTTACTTCAACTGAGCCTGCTCCATCTTGTGTTTCACCACTATTATTCCCACACATGTTTCATATGCCATGAGATAATTCCTCATCCTCACTCTGTGGTTTTTACTCCTGCCTTTTTATCATTCCCATGAAGATGGAAGATTGCATTGCAAATATCATTCTGTCTCACTTGACTCAGTTTTTATCTTTACTTAGTTCCCAATGGGCAATTTCTCACTTTCTAGTGAATACTCTCCCTGGTGGTGGATGACCAATGTGGTGTCTTGGACATTTTCTGCACTTCCTGATTTTTCTACCTTCCTTTTGCTTCCTTTGGTTCGTTTGCAATAGTCGAACTTTTGGTTCTCAGTCCTTCCCTTTGGGTAGTCTAAGGCCTAATTTTTTTATGGGCATTTAACATCTACTTGCCCATCCTTTAGGAGTAATCTTGTTTGGGGTAGCTGGTTTTGCTTTCCATATTGGTTTCATCCCCCATCCTCTATTTCATTTACTTGGGGGTTTCTCACTTCTTATGGGCATGTAGTCTCAGTCCACTTGTTTTTGTAGCATGGAGCTTTTGATATTGGGGAGGGGGGTCTCATGTCTCCATTTCCTACAATTCTTTTTTGGGGACTCTTTTTTTCATATTCCTCATTTCTGTTGGATGTGTCCATACATGTTATCTTCAATGGTTTTTGGATCTGTCAATACAGGTATATCCAGAAAAATACACTGTCTTCTTTTCACCTCTTGCTGGTGTGATGGTTGAGTTGATCCCACACAACTCTGGACATTCCTACATGTACACACACACACACACCTACCTTATCTTGACATGCATCTGTTTTGAGCCATCAAAGGTTCAAAATTCAGTCAATGGGCTCCATTCATTTACATGTGTGGGTTTCCATATCCGTGGTGGGCATAGCATAAGTGACACTGTTGACCTGCCCTCATGTCTTGCTTTTAGTTGCAGTAAACCATTGCACTGTATCTCAGTATGGGACGTAATCCAGATGATTGTACCTGATGACAATGGTCCATGCACCTATTCTATGTTCTCTCCTACATAAATTCTGCTTTCTTCATTTCTTCTGGGGTGTTACTGGGTAGTGTGATACAGGACACCTCACTATGGTATGAACCAAGCTGTTCCCGGTAATTAGGTACAGTTAGATAAGTCTTGTATTCACTTTAGGACACAGGATGCTACTCCCTGCATCTGATTTTTGTGATGATTATCTCATGCGAGTCTTTCTCCAATACGGAATAGCCTGACTTATGGGCCTAACCACACTACACATTCATTCTCAGCTGTCCACTTGTGAGATAATGGACAACTGAACAATCTTTCATTCTGTTTTAACATGTTTAGTGACATGTTAGCACCCATTAAAAGATTCTTATGACAATATATTTTGCTCTACCATCTCTAATGGATGAAAAATATTCCCTACTTTAGATAGATGCAGTCTCCCACAGAGTGCTGCCCCATCAGGCTACCCCTGCTTCTTGGTTGTCATCTTTTATTGGCTTTCCTTTTCTGACACTGTTTTCATAAAAGAACTCATCTTTTTAATTTCTCTGGACTGAACCCCTCCACCATCCTCAAGTGGGATTCTAGCTCTTTGTGGTGCAGAGAGGCCAAGCAGTATTTCTGAAGTTAACATTTTTCTCACCTGAAAATGTATTTTGGACAGATAGTCACCTCAGTTCACCACTTCCCACCTTTTCTCCCCACTTCTTTTGCATTTAGTTTGCCTCATCAAGAATAATCCTGTGTTCACGTGTTAGTGCCTGCAGGTATTACCACACGTGGAGGATGTGTGACCCTCCTATTGGTGGAGGGTTATAGTCTAGTGATGATTACATTATAAATGGTGCAATACATGTTGGCACGTGAAGGAGTGGAAGCTTTGTTGATGGCTTGTGGCATGCATTTGAACTTACACAGCAAATTAATAGCTCCTTGTGGTGGAGAGAGGTAAGGAAAATGTTAACTTTATTTTTCTCATTTATCACATGATAAATTACAAAACTTTATGTTCAGAGTATTTTTGTTAAATGTATGCCAGCTTTAAAAACTCCAAGTACTGGGACATTTTTTGTTTTAAATTCAATATTTCTTTCCTGGAACTATACACAGAAGTGGTCAACTTTCAACCATTCTGTAGAAAATTTTAAAAATAGGGAGCAACTTGTAAAACAAATGGTATTGGTTTATATTTTGTGGCCATTTATGAAGTTATCTTATGTAATAATGATGAAATTTCTTTATGAGCTCTATTTTACCTGTTCCTTCTGCCTTAAATCATTTTAGAGTACAGCTAAGCCTGCAGACTTTAAGTACCAGAGCAGTCCTTTCCGCTGGCACAGGTTAAATTCCCGATACACAATTGATGCATGGATTCCTGTTAGCAAAGATCAGTATAAGCAGAACCTGTTGAAACAGATTCATTCTGGACTTAGTCCATCATACATTGCTGTCATTAATGCCACTGCATTGATTGACAGAGAAATGAGAGAAGACAGAGATTTATTAGATCCAGCAGGAGAAAAAAAGAAAGGCAAACAAAGGTCAAAGGAACAATCAGCCCAGAAAAGCTTTGATGTGGACTTGTTTCTTTCTCTTGTAAGAATTTTTCCATATGAAATGTTTAAAACAAAGAAATCAGTAAATGAGTTTTATTAGTTCAGGAAATACTGAGTGTGTGTCTATGCTGGACTAAAGTCTTACCCTTTTTAACAAAACATTTTCTTTTAGCATTAGTTTTACACTTGAATTTAAATCCAACTTGCCAATATAGAATGCAAGTAATGAGTATGTTAATTAATATATTCTGCAGGGAATAATTTGATCTTTTGCCTTCATTTTGAATGTTTTTACATAGAGTTACTGGGTGAATAGTTTACATATAAAAAGAAATAAAGCAGAAACAGTTAATATTAGAAAACCTATGTACTCATGTTTTATGTATACATTGTATGTATGTGAGTGTGTGTATGTATATACAAACATACACACAGAGTTGAAGATACTTTTCTCTTCATAGTTAACCAATAACAACAACTTGAAGGAGGTAGAGCCTATAGATTGTGTAGCCTCCATGGTTGTGAAAGGAACAATACAATGTCGAGGCTATGTACACAGTAAGGCTACAGTCGCTGATGCAATAAGGGTATGTATGTATTGTTGAGTAGGTTTATTATCATCTTTGTTTATTGTGAATAATCTTTTTTCATTTGTGTATCTAGTTTCAAAACAGTTATAGTTTTCCTGTTAAGTGCTAGAAATATTTATTCATTTTTTCAGTGCAAAGTTAACCACAAAAGTATAAAAAGGCTGTTGGTGCTTTTGTCAGTTTTTGTAACTGTCTGTAAGTAGGCTTGGGGTTTCATAGTACTTGTGTATCCTGTTTTTTTAAATGAATAATGAAACGAATTGTGTTTATCATTGTTTGAGTTTAACATAATATCCTGATAGTCAAATATTTTATTTGAAATATTTAAATGTTTGAAGTAAGAAGCAATGCTTCCAAGTGCATTTTTAGAGCAAATTTTGATACCATGTAGACATTAATACAGTAATATTATCCAAAGTTTTTAATTGCAACTGAATGCATTACATTATATACATTTTAGGCTGTAAAACAAGATATTGTTTAAGAGTGTCATGTCTCTCTTTATAGTTACAAAAAATGAATATTACTTTATATTCTAATCTGTAAGTAAAACATCAGTAAACATTTTATATTACTTTTTATTGTAATCAGCACAAAGGTTGAGCACATTATATAAGAACAACTTTGGAGCCTCACCTTGTCATTATAATCCAAGTCACTGTGTCTGGTTATCTGTTGACCAGGCATCTTGACAATAGCCTAGCAGCATAGTTTTCATTGCAAAAGGCTTTTATGTCCAAAGCACACCACTCATCCCTATGTATTTTTCTACAGACCATGTAGTCTATGAGGACACTTGTTTTCTAGGACTATTTCATCAGTCTGATTGCATAGAAATACATAGGTATCGCATCTGGTGACTTGACAGTTATGTCTTTGTATGGTCTAACAAATACTTGTTTAGTTATCTAGCTAAACTTTGGGAGTGAAGATGTTTTATAAGAGTGGTGAAGTCCCATTATTTGATTAGAGTAGCCCAAGAGTTGTCAGTAGGTGCTGTTGACTAGCTGCCTTCATTCTAGTCTACAAGTTCAAATTTATGGATGGTTAGTGCAGATGGCCCTCATGTAGCTTTATGTCAAAATTTTAAACAAACAATCCTATAAAAGAAGAGATTTGTCTAAACAACATCTGTTCAGAAAAGTAGAAATTTATTTCAGATATTGGCTAACTGGGACAATAAAAGAACTGTTATTTCTCCTCTGCTTTGAGAGCAAGTGTAATTAACACAAAACTGTGAAATGTGTATATATATATATAACTAATAATTATAATTATAAAATTACTATAGTATAAACTAATGGGAATCCATTGTGGAATTATTAATGAAAATTATAGAATTTTAACTAAAACGAATTTGTCTGTACCTCCAAAATGCACCCACTCTTCTCTTATTCCATCAGTCTCAAGGTAATTCTTTGATCATTACATTTTTAGTAAAAACTATGCAGAAAAATGAAATGTTATTGTGAATAAAAGTACGCACGCACTTTGAAAGAGACTTGAATAGCACTCTTGAGCCTTTTCATATAGTGCGAACATTCCGACACAAGTTTTCAACTCTTTGAACTGTACAAAGGATAAAAAATATTTGATAGTAATAAGTAGGTAATGTATATGTGTTAAAACATAAAAAAAATATTTATTAATTAACATTTATTCACCACTTAAAACTAAATACAAAGTCCATAATGTTAGTAACAGTAGGCCTCTATTTGTGGTTTAATTTAAGCATTAGGCCTAATACATAGGCCTAACATTTTAACATTTATTCACTACTTAAAACTAAATACAAAGTCCATAATGTTAGTAACAGTAGGCCTCTATTTGTGGTTTAATTTAAGCATTAGGCCTAATACATAAACATAACATAAGGCTTAGCTGAAACACTACTTGGTAAATTTCATTTTGCTTTTGTCTACAACTCAGTGTCATAAAACTTTTGAATTAAACTATTTTGCTGTTATATCACTGAAGTTATCAACAAAATATAGAATATAAAAACAAACTTTTCTACAAATCAACATGAATATTGAGCATTCAACATAAACACCATAGTTGGCCTAAGAACAATCGGGTGATAGTTTTCTTGCTAAGTGGTGATGTATATTGTTGAGCATTACCAAAAAAGGAGAGTGAAAGTGTTCTCAACAGAGTGACAAAGGGAATATGTCTTTTATATTTAGTGATTTTGAAAATGTATATGTGATATGTATTTAAATTATTTGGTTGTTTTGCTTCAAAATTTTAAGGAACCAGTTGTCAAGTATACACCTATATATCAAATTTCAAAATTTAAGGGAAACTAATAATTCTAACTTTTATTTCAAGTTTTCCTATTTAAAATATATTATAACGTTTATTAAATGTAATTTGCAAAAAAAAAAAGTCAGAATTTTCAAACTTAAATTTTTATGCAGCTGTGAGGAGTCTAGCCCATGAACCAACATACTTAAAGATTTTTGTTTTAGAATTTTTCTGCCCTACTAATGAATGTTTTCATTTGATAAGAAAGCATTGTCTTTTGAGAATACAGTTAGTCAGGTCTTGTTTCCTTCTGTCTCTGAAATTCTAATACAGTAAGCATTTCTTTTTACCATTTAATGATGTCACAACATGTGGACTTAACAACTTCTTATGAAGCCCAGCTTTGAAAATATCTACAGGCGAAGTTTAATTACCATTTCATTGAGCTGGGCAATTACTGGAATTTGCTAATTAATCATTTGTCAGGCTCATCAATAGATTACTTTCAACTAATTGATTATTCTCAAGTGAGACATGGATAGTTGGAATAATTGAAAATAGTAATTATCAGAAACACTAATTTTGATTAGTTGATTATTTTTATGAGTTATGACACTAATTGATTAAGCTGAACAACCTTGAATTATTTGAAAATGGTAATGAGAAATCATAATGGCAATATTTTGATTACTTGGATGATGGAATAATGATAAACAGTAATAATCAGAAATTGTAATTTTGATTGATTATTTTACCTAACACTTATTAATGTATTCGATGCTTATAGGTACTTGATTATATCAGTTAATGTAGTTAATCACCTAGCTATACCATTGGATAAAGGAGATTATAAACTATTTATGTCAGTATTTTCAGTAAAGTGGTGTGAGAAGTAATTGATAGTTCCATGGGAAAGTGGTTACATACATATCTTGCAGAAAACAATGAAATTTAGTGAGAAGTTTAGAAGACTTGGCAACAAACCACAAGTCTGGGAATTTATTTTTATACTTTCTTTAGATGTTCTCTTTGTTCTTGAAAGTGTTTTTGTATAAAATTGTTTGTTTGAAAGTTCGTAAAATTCTCCTCTGTGACAAGATATCGGGTAAGCTTAGTTAGATTTAGAGTATAATTGGTAATAGCAAAATATTCAATGACTCAAATCTTATTTATTGAATATTATTATATTTATCATATTCAAACAATGTAGATAAGTAAAAGAAATGATTTGTTGCAAATAAACCATATTTAATACATATCTGATATACATTTATCTTAACCAAGAATATTGTTAGCATTAATAGTGTCAAAAAGCCTAACCTGACACCATTAATTTATTAATAAAAGCATTAAATCTGTCATAAAGGGCTAAGGATTCTTCTACAGTAGGTGTCTTTGACTTGTTGGCAATAAGTTTGACAATAAACGAACAGCACGCGCTTCACTTATTTTTTTAAAATAATATATATATTTTAAACAAGTTAAACGTATGTACAAAAATTATTTACACTGTGGAGATCATAATTTATCTTAAACACTATACAATTTGTTCTCTTCTTCTTGTCAAAATTCCACTTTGGCCAATTCAATTGCTTTAGAATTCAGTTGATGAGCCGAACTGTTTTTCTCTATTTTTATCAGTATCACAATAGTATCCGTGTATGATTCACTTATGATGTTGCGTGAGTTACCACAATTGTATCCTGAACTTCCAGTAACCGTCTGCCTTTTGTCAAAGTCCACACAGGCAGGTTTAATTAGTTTAGAACACCCTATGATGAAACAAATTATTCTCCTTATCTCTTTCAACCTGTAATCTCACTCTAACATATCAACCATTAGGCCATTCACTCCCACAATGGTTAACTTTACATTTTCTAACTTTCCTCTGACCAAACTTCTCATTTACGTGACTTTACTCTCTCTCTTTTTCTGCTCGTCTGATTGCAGCTACTTATACATCTATCACTTAGGCCTTCTGGAAATGTCTATTGCCTCTACATCAATGGATTGCACACAACGTTCAATTTCTTGGACATCAATGAATTACAAACACAAAATAAATAAATTAATAATACTACCTACACTAAACAGTGTTTTATATCTGACAAAGCTTTATCAGTTTTTGTTGAGTTTTATGATTTGTAGCAGGAAGTGGTGACTACTGCATTGGCAAAATAAAGTATCAAATGGAACTTTCTTATAACAAATATAAAAAAAAAAAAAAACTTAAGACAAAAAGAAATATTTTCCATGTTTTTTTCAAACATTGTCCCTCAACAAAATTTTGGAAACTTCACAATAAAAAATGATAGAAAAAGTAAATCAAATTATATGATTTCTTAAAGCTCAAACGAGATGCGGTTTAGTAAGCTTTTACGAAGGTTCATGCAATTTGATTAAGCATTTCCACTGTGAGAATGATATCTCCAAATCCAGAAAGGGTCATAATAATTGCTAGAAGACCACTGCAGATAAAGAACCAGTAAATGACACTGAATGATCCAAGAAGCAAAATACATCTCGACGTGTACCAGTGTTAAAATGGAAGAAATGCCCAGTAACTGAATTAACATTTGTAGTCTCTAATATATCAGAACTATATCATTAGAATTTAAACTGGTTAACAGTTAACAAGTAAATAATGAAATGTATGATACATGAGTAAAAGAGGTAATTTGAATGATTTTGACTTGAAAAAATGTCAAAACGTTTCCTAATATGAAAATAAATAAGCTCATATTGTTCAAAACTGTAGATCTTAGCTCCTCATAGTATGGGATTTGTTGCACATTGTAAGCTTATATGTTAGTATGGAACAATTCACAAAGGCTTACAAACATTAGATTATTTAATTTTATATAGCTTCATTGTAACCAGTGTATAAAAAGCACATAATCTTCTAGGCTGTCAAACAAGACATTATTCGAAGTCTCATGGCACGGTGTGAGATACAGTGTGAAGATCTGCTCTTAATTGAAGAAGAACAGAATGGTAAGTAGTAGTGAGTGTTTTGTGTGCACAAATGTAAATTACTTTTCATGATAGACTTAGTTTAGAATCATAAGTCTTTAAAGCTTTGAAGTGCAAAGTTTTTCTGTAGGTATGAATACATTATTTAGCATTGTTACTAGCACATAGCATATTAAGAGTACTTATGTTATTGAATGTTAAGTTATTACATGAAATGCCAAAGTTTTCAATTTTTTCACATTTATAGTAATGTTAAGATTGATGAGCATTGAAAGAGCTTAGTCATAAGAACCAAACTGAAAATTCCCAAAAATCACATTTGTATTGCTGAATCAAAACAAAAAAGGTATGTTTTAATTCTGAATTAAATGCAGTTGAGAACAAAAGAAAAATATATTAAATGTCAATAAAGTGTGTTTAAATGTTGCATATTTGTGCAAGTAAGATTGGGTTTCTTATAACACTACTTTTTTAGGTATAGTAGAGTAAATGTTTTAAAATGTAATAAGGGTATATATATATATATATATATATATATATAC